TTCAGACATCTATTTCCCATTTGCATCAACTTTACAATTTATTGTTTGAATTAGGTAATAAGATATCATTAAGACATTTACATTATTGTGGAATGAAAGTTGAACATTTTATGATCAAGATATTAATTTCATTTTTAGTTTTCTGTGATTGTAAACTGTTGTATAATAAAAAAAAAGCTATTAGTATCCCTCTTCATGCTTTTGAGAGATTCAACCCCAAGTCATTGCTCTTCATGTTGACCAATGTTTCTTTATCAACTTTATAATCAATCACTATAAATAATGCGTGACTTAGCTGTTGCATCCCTTCTTTTTTAATAGAGATATGGTGGGAAGAGGCATGTTTGGAAGGTGACTCTTACTGCTTATTTCTAATAGGAAATCAACAACTAGCCGCTATGTGTAACATTTGGGAAAATTTAATCTTGATTTATTAACCTAATGAGGGTGATAAGTGAATTAATAAGGTGTGCGGCCAGAGGGGTTCAATTGGTGCAATTATTGTGGCAATTTTAGCCCTAGAAGTGGATACGGATCTATGGTGGGCCACTCGGATGAGGAAAGAGGAAGAAAAAGAAAAGAAGATTTATTTTTGGTGCCACAAGTCACGATGCGTGGTCAGTCTGCCGCAGTGTGAGAGCAGATTTGAATGCAATGGCCTCCTTTGTGGCACGCGCTATGGCAGACGGCAATGTGCTCCGCAACGCACGGCCAAAAATATGATATATCAGATTCATATTAGCGCGAGAAAAACAGAAAGAGGAAGAGAAAAATAAAGGAGCTCGACTTTGGCTCTACTAGGGCTTATTATTGGAGCATATTGGTGATAGATTGAAACTTTCAAATACCCAAGGTAAGTAATCTAAGCCTTATTCTTCCTCTCTCCCTCATTTACGATGATTTATGGTTGGGTTTGAGTTGAAAGTTGAAATTCGGTTCACAGGGGTATGGGTCTAATTTCATTAGTTAAAATGAGTGTAATGGGAGTGGTTTGTAATAGATAAACCCTACATTGATGGTTTTATTAAGCGTTTGTTGGGTAGAGCCATTAATACCCGAAAATCCACATAAATGTGGTAGTTAAGAGAGGTTTATGTCCATTAATAACGGTTTGAAGTGTTATTAATGATAATGTGTACTAATGAAATCTAATGAATCCATTGGATATGAATGGGTAGAGATTTATGGGATGGATAGAATAGAGAAAAAGTGGAATCAATGTTGATAATTCCCTAAGAGTGGGATTGTGATAATATTCTTGCTTATGATTGTAGCGTGAATCATTTGGCACCATTTGAGCTTGTTGAAGCTTTGGAAGTTGTTATTGTGAGCGGTAAACCTTTGATTTCTCAAAGGTTCAGGCAACTGGAGGAAATTTAATCTTTATAGTTGAATATTAATTGTGTTTGTAAAATGTAATTTATGATTTAAATTTATGATGCATATTGGTAATGTGTTTGACTTGCGAAATGGTTTAAAAAAAAAACCTTGATTATGCCACCTACTTGTGATTTATAAATTTAGTTGTGGCATGTTGATGTGAAAGCAAATAATTGTGTGGTGTAATGTGTTGATGATGTGGAGTATATCAGTGAGTATGTTGGAATATTTGTCATGAATGAATCCTTGAAATATATACAATGTGAAAAATGTGCAGAGCATGATCATTGGTGGGAGTTTTCCTAAGGAGAGGAGTAGATTGATTTAGATCCACGTGGTATTGGCAGTGACCATTGGAATCGAAAATTGGCCTTCGCACTAACCGTTGGAATCGGGAGGTAGCCCTTGTCCCATGGTTGATTCAGGACTGTCCCACTTATTTTACAAGGAACTCGAACCTAGCTAGTCTCCACCGGTTCATGAAGAGGCTAGATTAGAGGTACAACACCCCATAGTTGTTAGCATTGGGGGAAACTAGATTACATAAATGAGTGAGTTAACCCTGGCCTGGTAGCTCCTCATAAGTGGAAGGTTGGGTTAATCCGTGAAGGACGTAGCTGCGTGATAGCTACCGGTTTTGTGTTAGAGGTAACAAGAGGGTATAAGGGTGGCATATGATCATGCATATAAGACTGGCTATATGGTTGTTAGTTTTATGGTCTGACATATGTTAGGGGTGCATGGTTGTTATTATTACAACCCCGTGTTGTGCCTTGTGAAATATTATGATATTGTGTGTTGTGGGCCCGATCACATGGTTGCTAGTTTTGTGAACTATGGCCAAATGTTTATATGTGGTATTTGTGTATTTGCCTAATTAAATCTATTTACAATTGATATACAACTATATAGGTTAGGTAAAACTTGGTTACTAAATGGTTGTACTCACCCCTCAATTCTTAATATTTGTAGGACCTTGCTCATCGAATCCGAGTCAGGAAAAACATACAGAGGCCTAAGATTGTGAAGTAATCCTCTATATGCCTCTTTTTAGTTGTTCCATGTGTATTTGGTAATATAATTGCCAATTAGGATCACATACTAATGTTTTTATAGTACTTGCATTATTTTGTGCAAATGGTGTATTTTGTGCTATGGGTTAGTGAGTTTTAGTTATAAACCCGTGGATAGGGCCAAAATACTTGTGCAAGTAAAAATATATGTATTTTGAAAGATTTAGAATGAAATTGGCGGTTTTGTGCAATGTTTTCCTCCCCCTTGGTATTTGTGAAAATAGGGGTTGAGTGGTTATTTTGCAATATAAGTGTTTTTGATTGTGTGTGGTGCATTGCACGGGTCTGCATGAGTCCATTGGGTATAGTCGTATGGTTGGTGTAGGCTATTGGTATGTGTGGTTGAGTAGGGACACTCCATTTGTGAAATTTTGTGAAAAAGTGATCAAAATGGGTTTTGGTGTCTAACTTTTTATATAAAATAAGTTTGATTGTGAAACCTGTACTATTAGCTAGAGTTAGGAGAAAGCATTGTGTAGATACTGAAACCACCTCAATCGGGCGTCGGATGGAGATTTGGGATATGTCGGAAGTTTGCTCCTTGTGCGGTCAAATGATAGCATTGATGCGGTCAAATTCGTGCAATGCGCCGTGGTGCATGGCGTCTCACGTCGCGGCGCACGGCACAGAAAAGATAAGCCGCGGCATACATGTTGCGAGCCGCGGTGCACGTGTCGTTTTTTGCACAAATATTAGTTTTGAGTTTTAAAATTCACGAATTTGGGTCCCAATTAATTTTCAAGCTTTCGCATTACTTTCAAACTCTGATTTGAACACTTTAAGAGCATTGTTTAAAAATTGAAATGTTGAATTTGGGATTCTTTCTAAAAAGGATTTGAGAAATTCTCTTTTTATGAAATTTTACAATTTGATAATCCTTTAAGAGTTAATCCCTTGATTGCTATGTTTTGGAGTTAAACGTGGATTATTAAGGGAGATCTTACACCATGTTTTCAAGCATCTGTAAGGCATGAAAATCTTTTGATGTCTATCAGCCAACCCCTTACTAAAATAAGCAAGTGGCTACTTTTCCTGCATCAGACTAGCCCTTACTCTTGATCTACATGCATCTGTCTCTACCATAAATTCTTTATTAAAATCAAGAAGGGTAAGAACAGGTGTTGATGCCAAGACCTTTTTGAGGTTATTGAATGACTCTGATGCAAAATCTGACCACTTGAAGTTATCTTTCTTTAGAAGAGAAGTCAATGGCTTTGTTAAGACTCCATAACCCTTGACAAATTTTCTGTAGTATCCTGCCAAACCTAACAATGCCTTGAGTTATTTCACAGTAGTTAGTTCAAGCCATTTAGCAACAGCTTGAATCTTCTTTGGATTTGTCCTAACTTGTCCAACACTAATTAGATGACCTAAATACTCAACTTCAGCTACCGTAAAAGAGCATTTGCTTTTTTTTTTAATAAAATAATGGTGCTATCTCAAAATAAAGAATACTTCCTTAAGGTGTTGTACGTGATCATCAAGGTTAGAACTATAAATTAATATATCATTAAAAAAAACTAGCACAAACCTCCTCAAATAAGGTGAAATATACTGATCATAACCCCTTGAAAAGTTGTCGGGGCATTAGGTAGGCCAAATGCCATAACTAACCATTCATAATGCTCACTATGTGTTTAAAAATAGCCTTTGGAACATCTTGAGGAACCATCCTGATTTGATGATATCCAGCCCTTAAGTCTAATTTTGTAAACTATTTCGCAGCACTTAACTCATCAAAGAGGTCTTCTAATAAGGGAATTGGATATTGATTCTTTACAGTGTTCTTGTTTGATTCCTTATAATCTATGTAGATCCTCCAAGTGCCATCTTTCTTTTTGACTAACACAATAGGAGTTGAAAATGGGCTTGGACTTTCTTGAATCACCCTATTAAGCAACAATTCCCCCACTAATCCTTCAATAATATCCCTTTGAGCTGAGGGATATCTGTATGGCTTGAGATTAATGGGATTAGTCCCTTTTTTAAGAACTACAAAGTGATCATGGCCTTCCCGTGATGGTGTCGCCCCTTTAGTGCCTTAAACAAGTTATAAAATTCTTGTAAAGTTCTAGAAATTCCCTTTGGGATCTTTGAACAGATTTGGATAGAAAGGCATTCTATCTTCTCTTGTCCCTTGGCCACTAATTAGAGCAAAAAATCTTGACCATCATGCAATTCCTTGATTTCCAGCTTCTTGGGTTGTACCATTCATGGAGTGTTAGGGGGGGTAGCTTGAAGCTTGCACAATTTTCCTTCTAGGCAAAAGAATATAGTTAATGACTCATAATCCCAAAATGCATTTTTAATGCTTTTGAGGCATTTAAACCCTAATCCTAAATCATAAGTGTACAATTCAAGGATATAGAAATCAAAAGTAAATTCTAAGCCTTGCATCCTCCATTTGAAATTTTTCCAAATGCCATAAACTCGTAGCTTTCTTCCCCCTACTACTTCCACCCAGCTTTTTGGTTACTTTATGATCTAGGAAATCATGTGTATTGCCATTATTAATGAGTATCTGAAGCTATCTCTTGCCATAGTACCTAATGACTCGCATAGTAGAAGCTTCATCAACTCCTTCAATAGTATGAAGGGAAATACTAGGTCTGTTATCTTCTTCCTTTTCTTCAGCAGTAGAAAGAGCATCTTCTCCTTGGGTGTCTTGAGTTTCAAGGAAGTGGAGTTGTAACTTCTAACATTGAGGGCATTTGTGGTATTTGGAGAATATTTCATGGTAGTAAAAAACACAAGTTTTTGCTCCAGTGTTCTGCAACTTCCTTTGCAAAGAGAATTTTAGGCGATTTATACACACTTTTTTGGTTAAAAGAAAAAGTTTTTAAATATAAGGATGTTGACTTAGCTTTCCCTTAGGTCCCACCATCAATTAAAGCATTTTTGTAAGGGGTCCAAGTGGTATGATAAAATGGCTATGTGGAAGAAGCTATAGGTGCCACGTGTCCACTATTCTTGTGTTGACTTTTCTTCTCAGCCTTTCTTTTTAATGTAATTTCTTGCATCCTTGCTAGGCTTCGTTCCTCCCTCATAGTTCTTTATTTAAACAATTTGACAGGTCTTGCAATTTCTTCTAATAGCCTATTGAGATAAACATCAACCAAGTATTTCTTAGATAAACTAAGTATATAAGAAATAGTGTCAAATTTATTGTTGTAATCAGCCAGTGTTCCTTGATGCTTGAGGCGCACCAAATCACTTATTGGTGTCTTGTGTATAAGGCCAAAGCGATCCTTAAGCTCATTGATGTATTCTTCCCAAATGGACACACTCCTGCCCATTTTTTTCATATGCAACGTGCTACTGGAATGCTTTTGGGTCAAGATGCATGCTTGTAATCTTGACCTTTGACTCTTCGAGGGTTTCATTGAGTTCAAAATAGCACATGCATTTCAGTATCCAGCCTTCAACATCCTCTTGAGTAAACTTTGGAAAATCCATTTTGGTGAATTAGGTTGGTTGGCAATACCCATTCCATTCTTGGTCGTTGCGGCAATATTGGTCCTCTAATTCTTGGTTGTGATACCTATGGTGACCATTGCGTTTGTCCCCATTGTTATCTAAACCACACTGACAATTGTGCACAAGCATCTGTAGCTGGTTTGAGATACCTTCAACAAATTCAGTCAAGATATTTCCTTTATTAAAGTTTTCTTCTAGTCGACCCACACGTTCTTCCATTGCTTTCTTGATCTAATTTTTAGTCTAAACCATGTATTGTTGAGATGAATATGAAAAGAGAAGTGGCCGAGGAGTGCTGCTTTGATACCTTTATTGTATCAGAATAATTTTGGATGATAAAGAAAATAAAGAGAGATAGGAGAGATTAGAGAGAAGAACAGGAAGGTTGGGAGAAGAGACAGGAAAGATAAGAAGAGATAGAAGAATTGACAAGATTAGAGAGAAGGAAAGGTTCAGAGGAATTGAGAAACACAAAGATTCTGCATAATACACTTCTAATCATTAAAGATAGGATTACAGGTTAAATGTCTCATTATTTATAGGTTTCACACTCACACTTCCCAACAGCTAAATCCCAATAACTATCATTTAAATCTAAAATAACTAACTACTAATGACAAAACTATAACACATAAGAAGAAAGTTTACTTCAAAACCAGACATTTCTTGCCCAAGGACAAAGGAAAAGAGCATCCCCCCAAGTTTCTACCTCCTCAAGACATACAGGACACATCAAAATTACAACAATCCTTTCCTTTCAAGGATTCTATAACAAGCACTGCTCTAACAAAACATCTCCATAGGAAATGATTTATTTTTGGAAGAGCTTTAACCTTCCATATCATCTTCCAAACCTTCTTATTCTAGTCATAATTATTATTCCTTCTAACAAAGGGATAATGATCAAGGAAAAAATTTTCTAGAGCACCTGCCTCTAACCTTCAAAGACACCACAAGAGTTGATCAAGCTTGATCACGTCTGTTTTTTATACGGGATGTCACCACAAAACACTAAGGCTTACAAGATTTATGAACTTTTAAATGAATAGTTTCATTTAACTTTTCTTCTTTTTACAAAAGGGAGCATGCCTAGTATATATAGGCTCATAAGAAAGATTATTTCCTATTATTAAAAACCCTAATTTCCTATTATTAAAAGGGAAAGAAAATAATATAAAATAAAGGAGAAAAATACCTGGCCATATAATTTAGGAGATGTGATCATAAAATTATGAGATTACAAAACTTAGAAAATAATATAATTAATCTTAATTTTTGACTAGATTTAAAATAGAAAATTATGACTAGTCTTGCTCTTTTAAGAAAGAGAGTCAAGTCAAAGGACCACCAAGTTAGGAAGTAATTGAGAAGTGTTGCTCACCGTAAGTGTATGGGCTGAAGCAAGTAATATAATGAAAGTAAAGTATTATTTCCTTGAGAATTTGTTTAAAAACAATGATTAAACAAAAGATTAAGTGAGTTCAACCAAGTTAAGCCAAAACATAATTAAGTGAAGATGATGTTGCAAACTAAATTAACACTAAAAAATAAAGAAAAACAATTGATTCACAAACTTGAAAAACAAATTGGAACTTGTGATTATTTATCCTCCTGGTATTTCATAGCACTAAAATTACCTCCTTTTATAAATGCTTTTGATGAAAATAACTGCTAATTTAGGGTTTTAAAAATACTTG